TAACGTAATAAAAATTGTCTTCGTGCCTGCATTTTGAAATGAGTTCTGAAATGACCCAATCATGAATTTGAGATGAGCTTATTTAGTCATTTGTGTTGATCTGGGAAGGTAATTCAAGCTATTTTCTCCTCCAGAAAGAGTTTACAGTTTTTTTTATTTATAGTTGTAGGCTCATCTCGTTTTCCTTATTTAATATATTTTTGGTGGGATTTGTTTTTTATTTTTAATTACCCAGATATTTTAGAAACATTGTGCTCTTCGCGTAATTACTATTTGTAAATGGTGCGTTGTGTGTGTAGTTTCTTTGTTTCCAATGTCCTTCAGTTACTTTTATGTATATTTTTCTTCATCATCCTCTGATTTTACAGTGGCTTAGTGTATTCCATTGTTCTTCAAGCAATTGCCGTTTAAGGGACATTCGTTGTTTGCTCTTCAGTTATACGTTGATTATATATATATATATATATATATATATATATATATATATATATATATTCTCTTCTCTGTCTGAGGGTACAGCAACTCAGTTCATAGAACTGAGGATCCAGACTACTCGCTCATATGATTTGATTATAATGGTGAAGGTTTGTACAGAACCAACTACACCTTTTGGAAGAGCCGAATACAGAGAACTGGTGCACAAGTGTGCCACAAGGACCTATTAATAATAATATTTCAAGAGTGATAACTATTAAATGCTTATTATAAATTACTGTCCACTAATTCTTTATTTACTTACTAGTCTAAAAACCGCACTCAGTGCGGACTTTTAAATTAGCTTTTCAGGAAGGCCAAAAACTAAAGGGACCTATGGTCCAGCTTAGAAAACAGCAATGATAATTTTGAAGAAATAATTTGAATATCTCAATACACTCCATGGAACTTTTAAACCTCACTTTAACTTTAATTCAGGATATAAGTCCAATTCTGGCCCAAAGACGTATTTGGGCCGAAATTCCAATTCAGGCCGAAATTCCAATTCAGGCCGAAAATTGAGTTCTTCAAGTCCCAAACTCCGTTGAACTTCAACTGAGTTGAGTTCTTGAAATCACAAATTATGCAGAACTTCAAAACCTCACATCACAAAACCTCTCACTTTGACTCTGATTCCTTGGCATTTTGAAAGAATAAAATTGATTTACTCAAATCAGAAAAATTATTTTAAACTGAATGTAAAACTTTTTTTTTAATTCCCAAAGTTTTTGTGCTACTTTAAACTCAATATAAATAAAAAAAAATCTTGAAAATCACTAATTTTTTCAGTTATTTTAAAATTTGAACTTTTTAACTGTTCCCTCCTCATCCGGAGAAAAATCCCAATGCTCTATGTTCAAGCACCAGATGTAGGGCAGATTTTCAATCCTAGGATCATCTAGATTCCCAAAAGCTATGATATGTCTATGTAGAGCAAGTGTGGGCCGAGTTAGATGAGTTTTAGACACACGGACGGACAGAGAGAAATTACCGTTTATTTATTTAGATTTGCATATAAGTATAAAATAGCCCCTCTTTTGTCTATAATACACTGAACTCAGCATAATCTGCGAGGGAGCGACTTTACTGATAGACATTTTCCCCTCTCACGAAGGGTGAACCATTTTAAAGATGAACGTTAGGTACAGACCAGACAAAAGTTTCTTATCAACAAAAGATATTCTATGCGCAAATTTTAGCATTCTGATAAATGTAAATATGTAGAGAATTTTAAAATACTTGTAATTGGAAACTGTCAGATATAACATCAGTGTTAGGTCGTTGCCTGAAGGCTATTTTGACAAACATGAATATGTGACTACAAATAACTATAAGTCAATGATCTACCCCAAGCCATGGCCTTTGTGATTTTTAATGAAATTTTAACGGAAATGAAATGCGTATTATATAGTAGAAATAAAATATTTGATGATAAACAATATTTTAAAATTATAGAACAACCTTTAAAAAGTAACTGGCTACAGAAGAGAGACATTTACTAACGTTAGCTTGGTCTGACACAAGACCACCATTATTTGAGTACCAAGTAGAGATCGAAATTACTAGCAATGGTCGACAAGACTAACTAGCCAACTCACTCTATAGTCGGCACCCTAATTCTAAGGCATTCAGATTAAATTATTATCAGTTTATGCAGTTGGTTGTTCTTCTATGTACTGTGTCTCTTCAGGACATGGGCAATAATGGCTCTCCTCAACAGTTCTTAGCAACTGTTGTCCTTTTGACATCCTTCCCAACCCCGTTCTGCAATTCATTCTCACAAGCTCGTCAGGTAGGTTTATATGCCTTGTGAGTATCAAATTCCCCAAGCCTCCTTTCGTTCTTATGCGCCCCTGCAATTCAGCTGTAATCAACAAATATTATCCATTGCGAAGTTAGCACTTTTGGTCGAAAGTTAGATTGCGAAGAAAAACAGTGAAGAAAGGCAGATTTTCAATCCCAGGATCATTTCCAGTAAACACTAGATAACAAAAGAAATGTGGCAATTTCCAAAGATGGACAAAAACTTCATTCGCTTGTATGTAAAATTCACAATCGAATCCACACGGATAATAGTCTACTGGTATTATGAGGTATTGCTGGGGTGCCCTGGGTTAGTGGTAACGATATTTCAGTCTCAAAAACATGTATAGCCTCAGTTATCTTTACGACTCTTCTGGCGTGTGTGTGTGTGCGCGTGTCTACGTGTGTGTTCGAATATCTCAGCCAAAGATAAACTCCTAGGGGCCCTAATGTTTGCATGGATAACCAAAAACTCTCAAGTAAGAACATGGGTGAGGTGTCGACATCAGTAGTCATTCAAGGCAACCGGAGATGATTAAAGGGAGCATAATATTTCTAGCCACACGATGCCATTTCTACCAAAAATAGATTCAGATACTGTGTTATATCAGCATGAAAACTCATAATACATTTACTTTTGACATAGCGAATATGAGAATGATCTAGGAGGTCATTCGAAGTTATCATAGGTTACTGAGGGAGTTTGGGTTCAAATTACTTTCTTCCAATAAGCAATAGAACAAAAAGGGTTAAAATATTAAGTTTTTTGTTTGTATAAATTGTGGAACAATAAAAAATGTTTCCAGAAAAAAATCGAAAATGTTCAGAATTTAACTTGATTCCTTTTCATGTAAATTTGTCGCAAAACGACAAAGAACTACCCGTTGCTCTCTAAGTGAGGCATTTTTGCCCCAAAGAATGATGCAATGACAGAAATAAACTCAAACCTGCTGTTAACAAATTCCTGCAAAATTTCAGTCAGACAAAGAAACAATTCCGGACATTACGGAAGCTATTCCGAGTTCAATTATGTTGTCTGGTGTTCATCCTCACAAGTTTCAATTGACACAATTCCGGACACTTCGAAAACTGTTCAGAACCTAATTAAGTTGCCATATAGGAGAATTTATATTATGTAACAGTTCAGCACACTTTTCTTTGTTTCTAACATTTTTTCATTTCTTAAAACTGCTTTAAGAAGATATATTTCGCTATTTTCATGAGCCTTCGAATTTTGGTGTCACATTTTCCGTCGCGTGTAAAAACAATTCCCGGGTAGTTAAATTACATTTTTTAAAGAAAATGTAACTTTATATAAATATCGACTATGGAACCTGTTCATTCTTTCTTATTAACGAAATGTTCCCATTTTATGACAACAGGATGCAATTACTCAACAGCAATGATTAAATAACTTGCTATTAGGGTTAGGGTAGTTGGGTCTGCTAATACATCGACTTTTTGTTTCTGTTATTTTGTATAATTTTTTTTTTTTGGATGTTTTTATTTTAATGGTTTTAAAACAGAATTCTTTCTTCCATATGACAAAAGAGTTAATTGTATAAACAAAATCCTAGATTACAAAATTACTTAACATATTAAAACCCGCCATCAACTTAGTTATTAATTACAAAATTCGAAATCAAACCTAGCGAGTTTCAGTAAATGCATGACGGAACAAGGTTTAAGAGAGATATCAAAAAAGACAAACTTTATTAAAAGCTACAAAGGACAGGAAATTGTGGAGAACCATGATCGTCAACGTGCTGAAGGGATGAGACACATAGAAAAAGATTACAGATTTCTAAAGAATTCAGTATTAATTACAAGTTTATAAAATCCGGTATTATTATTGATGGAGGGATGCGGTGGGTGATTATCTCTCTTTTGGTAGGGATGGATTCACGTGATGAACCTCAGTTGCTAAGAAGATCGCGAGAAAGCCACGCTTAATAACCCGTGTCGATAATGAGAACAAACTGAAACATTATGGTCCAAACAAGGAACATAAAAGATATCGCCTGAGTTGGCCATTTCCCTCTGGGAAATATTATCAGGAAGAACCTCTTGATTTTCGCCCGTTCACATGCTTGTTTTATCCATATAGTTTTATAGTTTCTCTGTTTGGGATAAATAGTAACAGTTATATACATAATTGTATAGAATTTCTTGTGTGGCATATAAAATCTTTTTTAGCATAATCCGTATTTGATAACCTTGCCCTTCCTGGCAGTGGAGTCTGGAAATAACCAAAATAGTTATTCCCTCTTTCCAAGCAACCTTATTATTGGATTATAAAAAAAAAACAATAATTATAGGTTTATAAAAATTAGGCATTATTAGTAGATGTATAATAGTCTTATATTAATTATATGTTTTTATCTATAATCCACGACTGACCACCATCCCAAAAATGGTATGATGTCCATTAATGGGTTAAATATGACCATCATTTGTTTTGTGGTATAGACAAACTAGTTGGTATCATAAAATCTTAGTTGTAAATCGTTAATCGTATACACACATCCTCTACACGAACTAACATAAACTCAAACACACCTGCACAAACATATACAAAAACACTCGCCCCTAACTCATACACAGAAATCTCTCCCACATATACCATGAGAAGAAAGTGAATAAGTCTATGGTAAAATATAGTAACAATATAGTAAATATATATGGAATAATTATATATACATAGAAATTAAATTAAAACTTACGCTAATCGTTTCTTTTCTTGTTCCCGAAGACTAAAGTCTCTCTGAATAACTTCCAAGATTTTTTCCCGCTCTTCTTCCGTAAGCTCAGCAAATGCCGATGAACTTTTCTCTGTGCCTCCCTTCATTCCTCTCTGCCTTTAACCAGACGATAACAGATTTCCTAATGCATAGACTGTGTCATCTCTTTCATAAAAGTGGTGCCTCTAAACTCTACTTTGACATCGAGGCGCACTTCAGTCTTCGCACGTGACTGCAACAAATACAGTTAATGGCGTGTGTTCGCCTTAACAAATAAAGTTCTGCGATCTTTTGCAAACCATCCATGTCTATCTTGTCGTTATTTTCTTCTTCTTTTGAAGCAATAAAGTAATTTCAGAAGTTATCTCGTTGTCGTTGTGAGGCACTGCTGACTTTCGAACCTTAGATTTACTGTTGGAAGGAAAGGATTTCCTGAAAAATACAATAAAAAGAAGATGAATGTTTTCGCCTGTAGAAAAAGTGGGCATGTAAATAACTTGGTCATCAAAGATATTACAAGACTTACTGATGAAACTAGATGAACTAATAATTAAGATTATAAGATTTGATGGCATAGAAATTGTGAGTTCAATCCCTGGGCTGGGTAGTACAGATTCAGACTCAATGGAAACAGGACCAGCAATAACTGAACAGTACTAAAAAGAGAATAAGACACAGATTATCGTGAACAATGTAGCTCTATAGATTATGTAAAATGTTCAGTTCGAAATTCCCTGAAAACTACTCAGTTGGACGGACACCTGAAGGCACTTACTATTACCACATTGTACGGTGTTTATTCAGTTCGGTTAAAAAAGAAGAAAATAGGGATAGATCATTATTCTGCGCCAATTTTCAATGTAGGGATAGCTATGCGGTGGAGTTGGACTGCAAAGTTTCGAAGACTTGCTCTCGCTTATCCCCATGTCGACAATGAACAGCTTGAAATGTAGCGGAGAAAGGACGACTTGTTACTTGTACACTGATTCTTGATTCGGCCCTCTTGTGGTAATAGACTTCTCCTTCATAACCATTTGATCTTCTATGGTTGTCGTCAAAGAACCTTTTTTATTTGAGAAAGATGGGAGTGGAAGAAAGCGTTCTGATGCTGTTCCTGTGAGCACAAAATCCCCTATTAGGATCTATGAATTTTCTTTTTCTATAAGTTATCGAAAATATTTTGATTCAAAATACCAGGATAGAGAAAGAACTTTAAAATTTTTATGTACCTTCTTTTATGTGTCGTACCCCTTCAGGGCGTGGGCGATCACGGCTCTCCACAACCTCCTGCCCTTTATCGTTCTCGTTAAAATTTGTCTTTTACCATCTCTCCCAATCGCTGTTCTGCCAATAATTTACACAAGCTCGTTAGAGAGGTTTACGCATTGCTTTCCTCTGTCCATCTACATATCCTGAGTGTCACATTTTCTAAACCCTTTTCCCTCATTTTAACTATTTCTGATTTTAAGTTTAAATGTCCTTTTTGTTTCTATTTTCCTTAAAGCTTCCTCGTTGATCACATGTTCAGTTCATGGTATTCTCAGAATCATTCCGGAGAATGACATTTCTGTGAGGTTATTGTCCAGCATTATTTCTAAAATTGATGACTGAATTTCAGCATCTGTGATAGTTGAATCCTTATAATTCTTGATGTTATGGTAAACACAATTCGTCATCTATGTTGGCTTTTCTCTTTTTCCAAGTTTCTTTCTTAATAGCTTGCTTTCTCTTCACTATTTGCTTTCTTTCTTTCTTTCTTTCTTTCTTTTTTCTACATTTAAGGAAAACATTTCCTTTTATTGCCTTGTCCTGATCTTACTTTTGCTTCCATTACTTCTTTTTATCTTGATTGTGAGGCCAAAACTAAGACGAATTCATCTTTTCTTTCTTCTCTTCTTTTTTCATTTGCTTATTTGCAACGACTGGAAGAATCTTTTTCTTCTTTTTACGATTTCACTTTCCATTCTATGAAATTATGATGTTTTCTTCTTTTCTCTTCCTTTTCTCTCTTTTTACGCCGGCTTAGCAGTGATGATACACGGAATCTATTTCCACTTCTTTCCTTTCTTCTCCTTTTAACCGACTTCTATTCTTTTTCTTACTATTCATTAAAACTATCTGCTTTTCTTCCATTTTTCTTCCTCTTTCCTATTCTTACGAAACCGGGAGATATGTTACTTTCTTTTCTTTCTTTATAGCTGATATGAATAAAAATTTATGAGAGATATACGGTTTGGAACCTCCATGTCGTTTCTCGCATTTACACGATGCCAAAGGGCTAAGAGCCAGTTGGCTAAATAGGACCGAATCAACATGACACTCATAGAGGTGCCAAAGGCCAAATCCCTAGAATCCGAATACGAATTCGAGTCCCAGAACGGATTAGCACTTCGAAATTTAGTGAGAAATTCAAACAAACTACTCTATGAATTTCCCAGGTAATAAGTTTGGTTTCGATATTTCATTACCTTGACTTTTATCTGGTGACCTCGCATTATTAAAGTTTCGTGTCGCCATTGGTCCGTACGTAGTATTAATCGAAGCAAGTGATTAAACTTTTAATCCCAACAAAATTTCGAGCAAGCATTTGAAATTTACGCGACTGCCCCAAAAATTCTTTTAGTTCATATATAATTTACATTTAATAATAGTTTACTAAAAGTATGTAACAGTTGATGGTGCCGTAGAGATAAAACGAGGTGCATAATTAGTTGGTCAGAGGTGTTTTCTTGAATTGTTATTACTTAACATTTGTTGGTATGACAAACGGATAATCCAGCATGATGATGGAATTAAAATGCCGAAAAATAGGTTTTATATTTCTCTAAATATATATATTCCATCATATTTGGCGCCAACTGTAAACTAATATACACAACATATAAAAAATATACTCCAATCATAATTTGTTAGATAAAGTATTGTATAACAAGCAAGTGTTTCTTGTTTTTTTTATTCCTTAAAATGTGCGTATTTAATGGCCTCAGAATTAAGGTGAAAATTGAAGAGTTACACGTTATTTCCTTCTTCGTGTTTAAGTTTTGTCTCTCAGACTGTAACATTAATAAGACATGAATTGAAGGTAATGCTTCAGAATGCGTATGTCGACTTTGGTTTCTAAAGTTTCGAAAAAGAGATGTAACAGGACGTTGATTGTCCTCTTTTATAAAGAGGCCAGAGGTCGTCCTGTCACAGTTTCAAATGACCAATTAGAAAGATAGCAACATAATCTTCTTCAAATCGATAGAGAATTTAACCAAAATGTTTGATGTAAAATGCTAAAGAAATTGACAACTGAATATTAAGAATCATTGTTTTAAATATTGCACCTTGCTGTTGCTTCGAGAGAAAAATAGTTAATTTCTTAATGGACAGAAAGTGGGTCCTGAACAGCATCTAGGAATTATTTGCACAATAACTCGACTATGAAAAAGTTTCAAAACAATTTTCAAATGTTATATTTCGTCACAAAATTATTATTATGGTGGTTTGCGACAGGTACGGTTTGCTACGATTTTCTTTCACGCGGAAGGGAGATAACAAATAATGTTTAGTAGGAAGCAATCATAATAGCGAAAGTAACTTGCACGGAATATATGTGAGTTCAATGATGTCTTGCGTTTAAATTTATTATCGTAAATAAATATTTACAATCGCCACTTGAATTAACCGGTACAATTATTAAAGATACAGAAAATAAAAAAGCTTCATTCAAATATAAAAGTTGTCTCTCTTTGACAGACTTCTCATACCACTACAATCTTTACCTTTTCAAGCCTAAATATCTATCCTACACATCCTCATAATATTCCCATCTTCCTGCTCTCCTACACCCATACAAAATCTATCCTCTATTTTGAGTGGCTCTTAGGCCCTGTATCGGTGAAAAATATTAATAAACAAGACTCATGTGCATTTGCATATTCCTTTTCTTATGTGTATAAGAGTGTTTTTTTTTAATTCTTTTAAATTAGCTTTTTAATATTTTTTATTTAACCATTTGCAGTGGTGTTTCATGCTTAGCGATTTTTCAAACTGGGTGTCTGTTTTTTAAAGCCTTACCAAGATCTATTGCGCTTTTCGTTTTTTAAAAGAAATGAATCAGTGTACTGACAGTTTAAAATAATTTAATTCCTTAATTTATTAAATTATTCATATTGTGAAATTCTATAACCTGGATTTTGTATAAATTTCAATTTCTTTCCATATTTCCTTTTGCCTTTTTAAAAAATTATACTCCAGTGTACACATAGGGTTGTCTCTTTTCTTTTAAACTCTGATTTTAACTCTCTCTCTCTCTCTCTTACTGTGTGGAGTTGTATTAGCGAAAGAAAGGGCAAGACAACAGGAAATATAGACAGCTAATTCTAGACTTGAAGAGGTCAAGATTTAATTATTTCAGAGTTCAGACGGAGTTGTTAGAAGCATAGAGTTGAAGTAGAGAAGTAGACTTTAGAAGAGACCGAAAACCAGGGTACCAAGGATGAACCTCTACTCCGGCCCAAAGGACTGGAGAAGAGAGTGAACCGGACAATAGGCAAATCTATCTACTCCTATTATGTATGTATGTATGTATGTATGTATGTATAACTGCCTTTACAAGATATGTAACAATTGAATTTTGGTTGGAAAAAATCAATTTTTTGTTTGTAAAATCACGGTATATATTTTGGAAGTCACTGATGTAAAATTTTAAAATGTGAGTTAACTGTCTCAAATACATTAGTTCTTCAGTTTCTACTACTTACAATACGTTGTATACTCGCTTCTACTCCTTTTCGTACAAAGTGGAGGTACTGTCCATGGTATGGACCCCCATTTACCAGGCTAGAAGACAAAGTTTATTCACGAATATGGTGCGTTACCATTTTATCTTTAATTTCCTATCACGTTCGAAGTTCTACGTTTCTGCCGTTGCTGAAGCTGACATAAGAATGTAAGAAAATAAAACATCAACATTGCCAATTGTCTTTTATATATAAATTTTCTGAAAGAATTTGGCTTCCTTTTGATTAAGATGTTTGGGTGCATGCAATATGAAAAACTGCCGAAGCCGAACATTACAATTCAGAACAGGTTGGCCACAGAATAAAAGTATTTACCCTGA